GGCATGAGCTTGCGGCGCGCCATGGCCGCGGCGCGGTGGCTCTCGTACTCCACGAAGGCGAAGCCGCGGTTCTTCATCTTGTCGGCTGCGCTGGCATACACGATGACGTCCAGCACGCCCTCAGTGACCTTGGCGATCTCCTCCAGGATCTCCTCGCGCTTCTTCATTTTGGGGATGCCGCCAATGAAGAGGCGGCAGTTGTCCACGCTGCAGCACACGCCCAGCAGCCGACCCGGCCGGATCTCGTAGTTGTTGAGCTCGCGCACGGCGCGCTTGGCCTCGTGCTTGTGGCAGTACATGATGAAGGCGTAGCCGCGGTTCTTGCCGTCGAAGTCCATCATGAGGCGCAGCTCATAGATGCGGCCCACGGCCTCGAACACTGGCACCAGCTCGTCCTCGTACACGTCGCGCGGGATCTTGCCCACGAAGACCTCGCAGCCGCGCTGCGGATGTGCGCCCTCCCAGCCAGGGGGCGGCCCGCCGTACTTGCGCTGCCCATTCTCCTGCACCATGCTGTAGCCCGTGCGCTCCATCAGCGCCACCAGGGCCGCCTCATTGGGAGCGCCCGCCACACCCTCGGGCACCTTGGCCGAGGACGGGGTGGCAGGGTCGCTGCTCATGGCTGCGGTGGAATCCTCTGCGGTCATAATGTCAAAGGCATCCACGGCCGCAGGACACCTGGGGAGAAAGAGGAGAGCGCGTGTGAGTGGGGAACAGGGCCAACCGCAGCCCCCACTCGCTCCTCGGTTTCTCTTTGGACCCGCGGGAGACGCGTACTTATAAATAGGCGTGATGTCAAGAAATGGGAACATGGAGGCCATTCTCTCAATGCAGCAGGTAAAATATAGGTCGTGCAAGGGGGCAGAGCGGAGGGTAGGGAACAAAACCAGAACGAGCAACTACTTCCGTCTCCTCAGCCTTCCAACAGCTATGAGGTTTAGAGAAGCCGCTGTCCTTGTTGGTGAAAACCTTAAATTACTGCAGCAAATGGTATCTCGGGCCGAACTCCTGCTCGGTTTACTCAGATTGATTTCTTTGAACTGTAGCATTTTAGGAGCCCGATTTATCTCTTTGGTATACACCACTGTTTTCTTTTCTCCTTTTTAAGGTGCATTCTTTTTCATTGTAGGAATGGAAACAGTGCAGTGTAATCATTAAAGAACAACTGGGGGAGGTGTGTTATGTAAGTCACCTGCAGAGCTGTGACAAGGAAAAAACAAAGGTCCACCGATAGGTACATTCTTGGTATGAATCCATCTTGGCTTCGGAATCAGCACACAGAGAGCTGGATTAACTTCAAGCCAGGGGACTTGTGTAGCAATGTCTCTCTGGTAAAGCACCCTACAGTATTCAGAGAACTATCACCTGTCACCTGCATGCTCTTAGCTCATCTTCTTAACCTCTGCCTATGAAAGGACATTGGTTTAAATTTGCCCATGGGGAAGTAGACTTAGCAAGTTTAAGCACATTGCTCATTTCACACAGCCAGGGCCAGCTTGTAGGAGGACTTGACTCTAAGTCTTCTGTCTCCAGATCGTATATTCTTTCTTCAGAACTGTGGAGGCAACAGAATTTTCTGTGATGATGAAAAAGCTATCGCCAGCCATGTGTAACTACTGAGACTTCAGATGGGGTGAATGTGGCGACGAAACTGAACTTCAATTTTATTTCAAAGAAAATTAGGTAGCCACAGATGACAGTTCTGCTCTGAATTGTGCCCATCTTTATTCTGATAATACAGAGCTCTGTGGAAATGATTCTAAATTATACCCTAAGGTTATCAGCAAGAGGGTCAGGTGGCTCAGTGCTAGAGTGCTTGCCTAGCCTGTGTGTGGAGCCCTGGGTTCTATCCCCAGTACTGCAAAAAATATATACACAATGGGCTGGGGATTTAGCTCAGTGGTTCCGCTGCCTGCCTCGCAAGTGCAAGGACACGAGTTTGATCCCTGGTACCAAAAAGAAAAAAAAGAAAAGAAGAAAACATATATACACAAATAAAGATTATCACCAAGAGCTAAATTACTTTTGTAATTAAAGGCTCCGACTGGCCTTTTAAAAAATAAAGTTCAGCTGGGCCTGGTGGCGCAGACCTGTAATCCCAGCACTCTGGAAGGCTGAGGCAGATGGGTCACAAGTTTGAGTTCAGCCTGGGTAACTTTGTGAGATCTTGTCTCTAAATAAAAAATAAAAATAGGGCTAGGGATAGAGCTCAGGGCAAAAGGGTTGGGTTCAATCCCTAGTACAGAGGAAAAAACAAGCCCATTTCACTTTTTGACAATTAAATTTTACGCAAAATTAAGAAACAAACAAGAAATGCTACAATGAAACTTTCCCATTTTTTTTTTAGGGTTTTTTTTTTTGGAGGGGGTGGGGGTACGATGTGGTCTGGTGTAGAGTTTGGCTTCTTACAGGTCTACTTCCTGCTGCTTTACATTTTAGAAGCATTCCTCTATGCTTTTACTCTTTATAAAAATATCATTTTTTTAGGCAACAGGATACTGAGTTCAAGGCCGCCTAGGATACTTAGCAAGTTTAAGACTGGCCTGGAATACATAGTGTGACCCTATCTCAAAAACAAGACAAAAACTAAATCACAAATAAAACATCACATTTAAGGGTAGCATAAGGTTTCATTATTTAACTAGAACCAGAAGTATTATTCATTTTTAAAAGTTCAGTACCATAAGTTGTATAAGACTATTAAGCAGAAATTCTAAGACTAATTAAGGTGAGTTTAGTCATTGACGAAAAAACCCTCAAACTGTATGTAACAACACAAAAATCTGATTTATTTGCCTCTTGGCCAAAACAGTTGTCTGGTTTCATTTGTAGTGATGTCAAGAGACAGTGTAGCTTAGTGAGTAAGCGTGTGGACTTTGGAGCCAGGCTACGTGGCTGTGTGAGAGTCCCAGCTCTGTTACTTCCTAGTTGCATGACCTGGAGCAAGGACACTTAGCTGCTCTCTGCCTCAGTTTCCTTACTCATAAAATGAGTATGCTTCTGGGCATGGTGGCACACACCTGTAATCCCAGCACTTGGAAAGCTGAAGCAGGAGGATCACTGAGTTCAAGGCCAGCCTGGGCTACATAGTGAGTGCAAGGCCAGGCTGAACTACATAGTGAGCAAGACCTTGTCTCAAAAAACCAAAGAGGGGGCTGCTAATGATAGCATTAACCTCATTAAGTTCAGAAGAACAAGTGAATTACTAGCTACAAAGCACTTTGAATTATGCCTAGAATTTGTACATGTTCAAGAGAAACTTTATTTCTTTTAATTTTTGGTACTGGGGATCGAACTCAGGACCTTGTACTTGTGAGGCAGGCACAGTGCCACTGAGCTAAATCCCGGCCCAGATGCTTTATTTTTTAAGAGCTGCATTTTTATCTTTTATCCGAAATTCTATAAAACTTCAGATCAATTGTTTTAATTTTAGAGTAATTTTTAAAACAAACTTTCTCACTTTTTAAAAAAATTAAATTGTCTGTTGGATGTGGCTTCGATTTTATTGTTTCCTTTCTTCTTCAAGTACTTAAAATTAAGTTCACAACAGCTCTAGTTATTGTGAAGTTTTTTTCTAGTATATATTTGGAAACAAAATATTAGTTTCTGTAGTTTTAAGCTGAAACAAATTTCAGTGTCAGATCTGAACAAGAAAGTCTTCCCTTTCTTTCAAATGGAAGATGACCATGTATTTTTAAGAAGACTATTTATACAAGAACACATATATTTAGAATCTATGAGCTGGGAAGAAAATGCTAGACACATATAAACGTGTTTGAGGCAAGTCAAGATTTTATCTGTTATACTATAGAAAACATTAGCTGATGTGCAAAGGAATAGAACTTCGTGTTGTTTTATTATTATTATTGTTGCCCCTATGTTCTGTGCCACCCTGCCTTGGAGCCAGACAAGTATGGACTGAAACCACTACAAACTGTGAGCTAAATAAACCTTTCCTCCTTTAACTTTGGGTGTCAGGTATTTTGTCTCAGCAATGAGAGAAAAGTAACTAAGACAGAATTAGGTACCGGGAGTGGGGTTGTTACTGTGACTATACCTATCCATGTGGTTTAGGGACTGGCTTGTGGGAAGGGGAAGAATTAGGAAAGGTTTGGAGATGCTGGGTGAAAAAGTAGAGCTAGAACACCTTAGGCTGTACTGTATGGAAGATTCAGATCAAAGCTCAGAAGACCATAAAGCTGGTAAAGACCAGGCTTGCGAGGTTTCTGCTGGAAAGAAGGATTGCACTGGCTGTTAAGACTTTAGATGATGTGTGCTATGGCTTGGCAAGAAGTTTATCTGCATTTTGCTCACATCCAAAGATTTTGCCTGAGACTGAGCTTAAGAGCAGTTGACTAATCTGGCAGAAGAAACTTCAAGGCAGTCTAATGTTGAGGCTATGGCATGCTGCTGTTGGGAGCCTTTTAGCCAGATCTATGTTGAGAATCAAAAGCAAAGACACCACCACAATGATTTAAAATGGTGTTTTTTTGTTTTTTTTTGGTACAGGGGATCGAACTCGGGTCCTTCTGCTTGCAAGGCAGGCGGCAGAACCACTGAGCTAAATTCCCGGCCCAATTTAAAATGTTTTGAGTTTGGCCAGAAAAGAAGCTCCAGTAAAGCTATGGGCTACAAAGATAGAGCAGAGGAGATCTTGATTACTGAGAAGGAACAGAATAGAAAAGATAGCCTGAGGGCATCACAAGAAACAGCCTCAAAATTGCAAAAGTGAGACTTTGCTTTAAGAAGAAAGCCCCATGTTCCGGAATGGCAGCAGCAGCCTAGAGAATTTGTTCATGGTATTGGATTCAGAGTGCTCAGTGATCCAGGCATTTGACCCCTATAGCCAAAAGAGAGGGAAGACTAGCTACTGCTCCGTAGACCTTGGCATCATCCATGTGGCACTGATTTTAGGTACATGGAAAATAGAAGAGTTGTGGGGTCAGGAAGACTTCCACCCAAATTTTAGAAGAAGGCCTTGGAGGCTAGGCAGTGTGCTCCTCAGAGGGCAGTGTGTGAAGCTGTGAGTGTGAAGCCAAAGGTGCCGTGGAGACCCCAGAAGCTTGGTGAAGCCAGGACAGTGGATCATCTGAGGAAAACTGCAAGAGCTAGCCCAAGAGAGGAGCTGTGGGAGCTACAATCATCTGCGGTGCCATAGGGGTGGAGTCACCAAGTCCTTTGGAGTTTACTACTTGGCACAGATTTCTGGGGATGCTGGAAGTTGAACTGTGGATTTAATGTTTGCCCTGGTGGATTTTGGTCCTGGTTCTTCCCCATTTCTTGTTATCCCTCAGTTTGTAACTTTTGGAATGAAAATGTCTATCCAGCAATCCCACATCTGTGTGTGTGTACCCAAGAGAATTGGAAGTGGGGATTTAGATACCTGGATACCAGTGTTCCAGTAACATCGTTCACTAGAGCCAAAAGGTGGACATGATTGAAATGCCCATCAACGGATGAATGGATGAACAAAACGTGGCTTATGCATACAATCAAATATTATCCAGCCTTGAATGAAATTCTGATGCAACATGGAAGAATTTTGAAAGCAATTATGGTAATGAAATAAGCCTAAATCTCGGAAGTGGCCTATGTGGCTGTCAAAAGATGAACAGATAAAGAAAATGTAGTATACATAAGAAAATCTTATAGTCTACAAACTCCACATGCCACAATAG